CACCCACTTGGCATTTAGCTCACTTTACAAAAATTGCTTCTGTAAATTGGCTTTTCCCCTCCTGGACCATAACAAAACGAGGGTAAGCGCCTTGCCTTCTTGTTCTTCCCTGCATTTAGCAGAGGGCTAAGGCACAGCCTGGCACACCTTAGGAGTCAATCATGTTGACTACAAGGCCATCACAGAAACAGGCCAAGAGACAAAGGTTTCTCCCGAACTGAGGTTTGGACTAACGACGAATGACGAGGCTGCATTATTAATGTTCTGTCAAATCTGGCAGTCAACAAATGTAATAGGGCCATTTGGAAAGGAGAGGATTCCAGAAGAGCTCCAGGAATAGATTTGTAAGCAGAGGTTTTCTAGAACCAGCAGTAGGTGCTTCCCATGCTTGGTGGGCAATGGTGACATTGCAAGAGGGTGGTAGTGATACTGGAAGGTGCATAAGAATTGCAGGTCCCTTTAAAAGCCCTGTGTGTGTGAATGAGCACCTGGTTTAGATCACAAGGAAATCAAGACTTCAGGGAAGGGGAAACAGAGGCCCAGTCACTATGGAAGAAAGTTAGAGTGTCACCTAACGCAAACCAAGCAGGTGATTCACAGAGGAGAGCCTAGCTTGTAATAATCTGGGCCTTACCTACATTGACAGCTCTTCAATCTCTCATCCTGTCCAAACCCTCCCCTATGCTACCAATGGCTATAATCTAATGCCCAGGCAGAAAAGGTTCTCTGTCATTTTTCCAGGATCACCAGCTTCTCATGTATAGAAGTGGCTTAATAAAACTGATTTGCTGAGCTGGAAACTCTACTAGAGAAGATGGGCTTTTTGATTAAGTGTTGCGCTGTTGGAGATTCACCATCGGCATCTGTAAAATGGGGAGAGTAAAATCAATCCTGCAGCATTTTTAACACCTGGAGATCGTGTGTGTGAAACTTCTTGGCACAAGGAGGTGTTAAGCATACGCGAGGCATTTTATTTTTCTGTCACAGAAATCAGTAGTGGAGCTAAGTCTTTGGTAGTAACGTCAACTGTGGATACACAAGATGCATCATACTCTAGGCAGAATGAATGAATACTGTTTTAGGCGCAAGATAGGTGTGGTTGGACTATTTTATTGCTTTTCCTCTCACGTGCAGATTTTAGGCCAAAAAATCAATTAAAATGTTTTTAATGTGCAAGTACCCAAATCTTTCAAATACATATCTTGAAATCCTAACTTTCTAGTTAGATGTTTAATATTTGAAATAAGATAATCAAGAAACCTTGAAAAACCTAAGCCTAAAACGTAGAAGACCTACAAAAGTACACCGATAGAAACAGCAGGTGTTTTAACAAGGTATTTATTTAGAAAATGACTAAAATCATCAGCTATAGGAGGTGGGGGGGGTGTAACAAGTACAGTGGATAACGCTGGGGCGGGGCGGTTGGGTTTCTTAGAGAGCAAAGTGCTGAGCTGGGAATGCGGCTCACAGTTAAAGCATTGGCTTGCTATGCCCAAAGTCCTGGGCAAACAAAAACAGCAAGTAAACAAACAAACAAGCATAGAATATATGAAAATGAAAAGTTGTAGTCTTACCTGCATGTGGAGCACCTCCTGGGACAACTCTTCCATTGCTCTAACGCTGTCTAACTCAGAGCAAGGTGACCTCAGGCTAACCCCACGAAAGCTTTTAGAAATGCCTCGCCAGTACAGTAATCCTGCTACAGTCAAATATCTTCTGTCTGTGAAATTCAACACAAATTATTTTTGAGATTTATTTTTAATTACATGTTTGTACATGTGTGCTGGAGTCTTGTGTAGATATGTGTGTGGTGGTGCCTGCAGAGGTCAGAAGAGGGTGTTGGGACCTGTGGAGCTGGAGTTACAGGCAGTTGTGAGCTGCCCAGGATTGGTGCTGGGAACTAAACTTGAGTCTTCTCCTAAAGCAGTATGACTTTTAAGCAACTCTCTAGCACACAAATGGCTTTTTAATGAAATAAAGCTTTCCACCTAATGTGTTGTTGAATTATTATATCTTGCTGAGAAAAAAAAGACATGTAATTATGACTATCAACTAACACAAGTAAAAAGTATAGAATTCTATTTCTGCTTTCTGCGCTTCTTTGTTAACTCTACCATCATGAAAAAGATCCCAGCTCTTCCAGCCACTGAAAATTGTTTGCCAACCTGAAAGTCAGTTTGACAGTCAGCACATGATTTGAAATTTTGTCAGAAGAATCCTCCACCAAAGAATCTAGTGTTCCAGGCAGACCATGGGCATGCATGCGGTAAATAACACAATCCAAGGGGGTGCGAGGGAAGGAGGTCGGTGCTCCCCGGCACCAGATCTACACAAGGTAGTTGCCTAATAATCTGGGAGAAGATGTTTGCTGATCTGCTCAGAGGGGTGTTTGTGAAGCCCAAGTTTTCATTGACGTTTTGTGCCAGTGGGATATCAAGGCAGATGGTAGAGTCCTTGGTTTAGATGGTAATGGTGAATTTGACCTGTTATCATCCACATTATCTTTGTCCACACAGAAACTGCTCTGTTGCTTTGCGTTTCACTCACAATGCTTCCCAAAGACTTCTTTCCTAGTTATTCTTCATCAGCTTGACGTTTCCATTTATCTGAGAACACCACACATCACATTCAAAGTACTCAAGCAATTGCCTCGCTCAGTCAGCAGCTGAGCCTCTTGTTCCCCTTGGCTTTGAACTCCCTAGAGCAGATCCCCAGAGAACTCCTGCCTAGCACTTCCCAGTCTTTCCTGTGAGCTTTTCACAATACCCCACTACCAGCCATGGGAAGTAGACAAGAAGTCAGACAATGCAAAGACTTCCTCCCAATTGTTTTACTTATAATCTAAAGCTATGGGAATGAAAATCTGGACACTCACTGTTTTCTGCAGACAGGACAAGCCTCAGGTAATTGAGAAGCAATAAAGTCGGACCCTACAAAGAAAGCTAACACTGTGAAGAGATGCTACCAGAGCTGGGTCCAGCTGTTCCTGCTTCAGGAATAGCTTAGCTATTCTGTCCCTGGGTTGCTAAACCCTAAAAACTCCCCTTTTTCCTAATCTAAGTTAGGGTGGCTTTCTAATGCATGACGTCAGTGTTCTTGACTTCCACTATTGGTCACTGTTTTCACCTGCTCATTGTTAGTCACCATCTCTTAAACTCCCTGGTACTTCCTGTGAACCATGTAATCTGAACAGAAGAGGAAACAGAAGAGTGGAGATTCCCAGGGTTGCAACGGGCTCGGTATCTACACATCGATGTTGCTGAGCCCAGATTCCTACCCGATCTCCCCAGATACAGCCAGCCTGGGCTTTTAACTACTACCTGCTATTTTGATGTAGTTTGGGCAGAACTTCCTTTTCAGAAACAGGCAGAGGCAGAAAACCAGGAGTCCCATGCTCTGTAGACTCTTATTGCAGAATCTTAGAGTTGGGCATTTGCTGGAAGGCCCCACACTATATTCTTTGTGTATTCCAGTATTCAATCTCTTCTAAGTAGATAGCCCAACCTCAACTCAGAACTCTGCCTGCTAACATGTTGTCCATTCTCCAAGGCCACTTTTGGTGTAGCCACAGAAATTTCCCTGCTCCATGCTTGACGTGAATCCATTCCCTTCTTGGTCCACAGTTTACATAAGGTTATGGCTTATTGGTTGCCTATCCAACTTTAATACTGAGCTGAGAGCTCCAGGTAGGCATGGATTATGTATCCTTCAGTTGTTTGACTTTGCCCCTGACACACACCTACTTAATAATAGATGTTTAATATCCATTTGTTGAGCCAAAATGAATTTAGCAGCATGCGGAGTCCTATCACTGCAGAAAGAAAAATATTCTCCAGCCTGGATAGTTTCAAAACATGGTCCCTAATGTCCCTACTACTGTGGCTCATGTCTTGTTTGTGGAGAACTGATGGCATTTCATCAATTGGAGAACTTTAGTTATTAATTCTAAAAAAAAAAAGTGAGCCTTAACTTCATAGCCAGACCGAGAGACACACTAGGAGTTTGAGCCATGATGCAGTCATCTCCAGTTTTGGAAATAAAGAAACCTAACAAATCCCATCTTGACAAGGTGGCCATAGTCAGCATCATCACTGATGTCATACAAGTAACACACATGACATATAACAAAAAACGATACCCAGCTCTCCATCATAGCCCAAACACATCACTAACATTATCATAAAAAAAACCCACGGGGCAAATATCACTTGATGGAAATTCTACAAAATAATTTATAATCATACCATAAAACTGTCAAAATTATTTAAAACTAGGGAAAATGAGAAGCCATTGCAGACCACAGGTGACTAAGGAGATGTGGTGACTGGATGTAACATGGCATCCCAGATGAGACACTGTACTATAAAGGGACATTAGTAATGAAACTAGTGGAATTCAAATGAAGGCTGGAATCTCGTCAACAGCAATGCACCAATGTTTATCTTGCCATGCTGCCAAAGGCATCATTTGGAGTGGAAGAACCAAGTTGGTTGAAGCTCATCTTGAGCACAGTTCCTGCACAGCTGCTCTGGTCACAGACCCGTGGAGTCCATCCTGTGTTGATGAGAAGAGGAATGGGATATGGGGAGGGGGGATCCTGAAGGCTGAGTTTTCATCTATCACATTGGACAAAGACTACAGGTGAAACTAGACTTATCAGTCAAACTAGAAGGAAAGGGGGTGAAAGCAAGTGTGACGCAGTGCTTTGCTCCCCTTAAACTAACTGTGGGGCTGTGTGGGCAGTTTTAATTTAGAATGCGAATTTCCACCCAAGCATCGTCTTCTAATATCGCCTCCAATGAATGAATCTATCAAAGCAAATGTCTTTAGAGACCCAGGGCCTCCCTCCATGTGTGTCCTTCCTTGGAGTTCCTTCACAGAGTAGAAATGAGTTCCTTGAGACTGTCACGGTCATGTGTTTGACTGCCAAGGATTTTGAAGACACTTCTGACTTTTTCTGCTCAGAAATTCTCAAACTGGTGTGTGCTCTGTCTTTCCAGGTACCTCCAGATCATCAGTCACTCGATGCAAACCAGGATCCAACTGCCCCAGTTCCCACAGCAGCATCAGCAGGCAACTGTCCCCTCTAACTGTTACCGAAGACTCTGCTGCTCCTATTCTTGAACTCCAGAGCCGAGGACCCTCCGGAGTTTGTGGACACAGGGTTGAGAGACAGAGCAGAGCAGGTACGTGTGTGACCTCTTCTTGAGCAGTATACTGTAGCAGCCTTCTAGACAGCCATGGAAATGCTGCCTGGGGCACAGGAGGCAGAAATGTTTCCCAGAGCGTGGGTGCAGGGATGGCTTATCAAATGGGAAGAGGGAGAAGTTAGGACATAAGACAAGCAATTTATTAGGGATAAACAATGCCATAGAGAACCAACTCGAAAATCTATTGTTAAAAAAGTTACATCATAGACTGTCGGTAACCTCTGGTGAAATTTACAAGGTAGTTCATTTTCTCATCTTCAAGTGCCAAACCCAGCATCATTTAGCTCAGCTCTGGGATCCAGTGATAACATTCTGTGTCCAGTCTAAAGAGAATGAGAACACCAGCCAAACCACACGCTGTGCTTTTGTTCTGGTCAGGACTCCTGGTCTCTGGCACCCATTCAGTCTTTCCAAATTCCTATGCAGCAATGAACTGGTCAGCCTTTTCTGCTCACTTGAAACCTTAGTCCTTTGTCTGGTCACCACTCACTAACTCTGGGCTACTAGAGGGATCTCAGCCATACCCATGAGCTTCCCAGCGAAGCATGACTTTCTAGATGCAACTGGATTCACAAAGTTGCTGCTAAAGACTCTGTGATTCTGTAGTCTTGGACACGTTATCTCCTGTCTCAAATAATGCTCTAAAGCCCCAAGTTCACACTCATTTCCTATCTTCTCAACAAATGACCACACATCTACCTCCCCAGAAAGGAAACAAACAAACAGAATAAAGCAAAAGTTCCCTCTCTGTGAGGGAGACTTTGTTCACCAGGTAACATCATCACAGGATCTTCCCTGGCTAGGGGCTCCCTCCCTGTCTGTGGCAGGCACTTCCTTCTCCAGTGCGCACCCCCTCCCTGTGCCTCTTCTGTTTGCATCCACGAAGCCCCCTCTATCTGAGCCTTCAAGTGCCGCCAACATACCAAATCTCCTTCAGATTTCAAAACGCAGTAAAGATAACAGCAGAATATTCATTCATAATAACTGGCTAGTTAAAGAAAACAAAAGCATAGAGTTAAGAAACTGTTTTAAATGAATAAAAATGACAGTTTGTGAGATTTAAGTGGGGAGTGAGTGAATTTTAAAATGAGGCTGGAAAGGGAATGAAAAGCCCCTTCTGGAGCCCTCTGAACTTATGAATAGATTACTTTATAGGAATAAAGCCTAGACTGAAAGTGTGCTCAGAATAGAAAGACCTCAAGTTCTACTGACTTGCAGCACCCTTCACCCGAGCCTCTATACCAAGTTGGCTCGTGTTTCTTTTCTGGCCTCCTGACACAATAGTCTCTCATTCTAACGCCTTCATTCATCTTCATTTTCCCTTCTTCTCTTGGCATAAATCACAGGACATTTGCAGAACTGTTGCCAAGGCAGACCCTATCTGGACGTAGTCAAGTGAGCTAGTTAAACCCTGCTTCCTTGCTCACTGCAATGTCTCTGCATTGGGGAAGTTTCTCCCGGCCACATTGCTTCTCTGCTCTATGCAGCCTCATCTCCGTATGAACTGGCCCATGTCATCTTGGGTCCTGATGCAAACTCAAGTCTTTCACCTTTGAACCCCTGGGACACAAGGAACGAAAGAGATCTGAGTGTCTCCGACGAGTCTATCAAATAAATAAGTCAGACAATGACAGTTTCCAACTGCAGTTATTCAAAACCCCAAGAATTCAGTACCATTTAGAAGACTAAGAAGTTCCAGAGTGATTTTTGTGCTCACATTTATATTCAGAATTCACTTTCAAAGTTTATTCTTAAAAGCCTCCACCCAGGGTATGAGGGGGAGTCAGTCTGACTTGGCTCACCAGGCAGTAGGAACATGTCCAGGCAGGTTCTGGAAAGGAAAGGCCAGGTAAAAAAAAAAAAAAAAAAAAAAAAAAAGCCACACCCATCACTGCTTGCACTCCAAGTATAGTCTTGGGTCTCAGTTAAGTTCCTAGAGACATAAAACAACCTTGCAGCAATTCTGTGTCCCTGCAGGAAGGTACCATGTGGGATCTCAGCTAGGAGGATGTCCTCCCTCTCAGCTGCTGAGAGGTACACGAATCTATTTCTAACTTATTTGTTCTATCGAGAGAAAGGGCAATGATGGCTGTCAACTCCAGAGACTTTGGATGATTTTCAGGGGGAAAGTGCTCCTGAATTCTCTTGGTAAATGTTAAAATTCAAGAAAGTCTGCTATGTTTTCAGAAACACGATTGGACAGTAATCTGTTATAAGATGGGAAATGACTTTGTATAGTCACGGTTCACTCTGTTCTTGGCCCACACCGGTTTCAGTTTAAGAGTCATCTGGTGCCGTTTGTAAAAGATCCCTGGAGACTAAAAAAACAAGCATGCACTTCTCAGACCTTTCATGTTTGTGGGTGCAGGGCAGCTTTGACTCAGTTGTGTTCATCCCCCACATAAACTGAAAAAGCAGCTTGGTCTATGGTGGAGTTTCTGTCTTAGTCACAGAGAGGAAGAGAAGAAGACCTGGTAGAACCCCGGATGTCTCTTAGAGCTTCTGCTATGGGGCAGCCACTGCATATGTCCCTTGGGACTATGTAAGGCCTGTCGCAGGTCTTTAGAAGCTGAGGTGTGGAACCTTCTTAAAGGCAAAGTATGTATATAATATAACACACACCACATGCATGCGCATCTTTACCTTCTGGGTGGGGTCCAAATCCACACTGGACCCTGTCAAGTGAAGTCCATAGAGAGGATGAACTCGGGGTGAGGTGCTGGAGGTGGCTCAACAATTAAGAGCACTGGCTGCTGCTCTTCCAGAGGACCTGGGTTCAATTCCCAACATCCACACGATAGCTTCCAACTGACTGACTCTAGTTCCTGGGGATTAGACAGCCTCTTCTAACCTTCACTGGCCCTGCGCACACATGGGGCACAGACATACATTCAAACACTTTATATTTATAAAATAAAAATGAGCAAAATCCAGAAATGTAAAAAACAAACCCAAGAGATGAGATGGGGACCGTTGTTTTCTTCCGATCACGCTGGTCATGCTCACAGTTGCATACGTCTTCTTAAAGGAGCCAACACGTGTGATTGCTGTTTTACATCCCGCTCCTCCACATCTGTATTCCTCTCCTGTTTCCAGGGGATGATGGGACACAGACTCATCCTGAGAGCAGTGGCCAAGAAAGCAGACTCAAGGCTCGCTGCCTGTCCTGCACATCCGTGGTCCTGAAGGCCGTCTGGGGACTCTTGATCATCTTCTCAGTGTCATCGTCCTGGGTTGGAACCACGCAAATCGTCAAAATTACTTACAAGAATTTTTACTGTCCCTTTTTCATGACATGGTTTTCGACAAACTGGAACATTATGTTTTTCCCTGTCTACTATTCTGGCCATCTAGCCACAGCTCAAGAAAAGCAGTCACCAATGAAAAAATTCAGGTGGGTTCCATGTTCAATGACCAATAGCAGACGTTTCAAAACCTGTGTGATGTAAATGTGTCTATACTCACTGCTTTGGGATATGAATTGACTTTGTTTTGAAGTGAAGAAGCAAGAGCTATGGTTGGCAGTGAACAGGAGGAAACAGAATTGGTCCCCTCTGGAAACATTGCGTCTACACGTGGCAGGCATTGAGCTGGTCGGTGCTTTTGTGTCCCTTACCTTAGGTTGTCGTCATCGTCAGGGTAACAAACACCTTTCCGGGTGGTATTAATATCCTCATCTTAACCAAGATGAAACAGATTCCCAAAGGCTGAAAGTCTGCTCCAAGGTTAGTTGTATATAAATAGAACCCTGATTTACGTTCAGATTTATTTGTCTCTGAAGGTCATATGTTCAGAATGTCTCAAACGCTAGAGGAAAAATATCTATATTAATACATCTAATTTCTGTGATATGCACATGTTTGCTTGCTATTTCCAGCACTTTGATGTCTTCGTGGATGAAATGGCCTTGCTTCCTAAGACGGGAGGCTTAGCATGAAGCAACTCAAAGAGATGCCCATCTCTGTGGTGGGGGCACATGGGCCTTGTCTGTTGCTCAGTAAACATACAGGGTGGTGGCTAGCCTACTAGTTGCATGGTTCTGGTATTTGTCCAGTGCTAAATCAGATCCCCTCTGGGTGTGCTCAGGAACATGGCAGGGCTAGTATGAACTTTGTACAACACTCCTGGAAGGTAAAAGCAATGTTTGGGTCAGAGTTTCTTTGTGGATTGCAGCAGGTCAAGTGTTTGCCTTGCAAACATGAGGATCTGGTTTTTATCCCAGAACAAACAAGAAGGCGATAAAGAAAAATCTAAGTATGGTTGAGCATACTTGTTATCCTAGCACTGGGGAAGTGGAGACAAGAGAAGCCCTGGAGCTCACAGGAAGGCCAGCCTACCAAGACCTTGTCTCAAAAGACAACATGGCTGGTGACTAAGGAATGACAGCCAAAATTGTCTGTCTTCTGGCCTCTGCATTCACACATACACCCATACACACACACACACACACACACACACACACACACACACACACACACAGATCCAGAGCTAAGAAACAGCATCAGCAACAAACATGCTCACTGAGGGCCCTCGGTAGATCACAGCAACTCGTCTTCAATAAGATGATAACAGTTGGTCATACAGTAGCTCAAACAACCCCTCTTTATTCCCCCATGTGCTCAACAAGAAAAAATGACTATTATGATTGGTACATTCTAAGAACAGATTTTAAAACAACTTCCATTTCTTGTCACCAGCTTGGAAGTGTGAGGGAATGCCGAAGTCATACTGTGAGCTGGTTTTCTGTATGTAACCATAAACATTTAATTTTAAAGAAACAAAAATTAGACCTAGAGAGGTGGCTCAGCGGTTAAGAGCACGTGTTGCTCTTGCAGAGGACCTGGGTTTGGTTTCCAGCACCCACATGGTAGCTCACAGCCATCCATAACTTCACTTCCAGCATCTCTGGGTACAAGGCACACACAGTGTGTATGCATATGTGCACTCAAAATAATCATACACATAAAATAAAATTTTAAAATCCAAATTTTCAATAAAAAAACTAAAAACAACAAATATTCTCGTTTTTGAAGAAAAGTCCTATGATTGTTTGTAGTTGCGAAAATAAATTTTGTATTTTGTTGCCATTAAAATAGAGGTCATCTTTTGGGTATGATTTTTTCCCCCAAGACAGGGTTTCTCTGTGCCGTCCTGGCTATCCTGAAACTTCCTCTGTAGACCTGGCTGGCCTCAAACTCAGAGATCCACCTGCCTCTGTCTCCCAAGTGCTCGGGTTTAAGGTGTGTGCCCCACTGTCTGGCATTTGGGGCATTATTATTAATGATGGCATTTAAAGAAATGCCAAGGAAGCGTGATTATCAAACTGTAATTGTCGTAGTTGAAAACAGTTGCGTGTGCCTAATGGAATGTGCTCTTCCCCCAGAGCTCTTGTGTTTTAGATACACATGCGAGAAAAACAATTTAAAAAGTTTAGAGGAAAGAGAGCAACTTCAGAACATGTTAAACAAGCCATAGTGCTTTATCCAAGACACACTGGCGGCAGCTGAACCTCTGCATGGGGAGTGAGCAGCATCTCTCCACATCCCTCGCCTTGGACCAGCTCTGAGCATTGCTGGGTCTGCGCCTGGATAAGATGCCTCCACCTGTTAGTGTAGGTAGGGCGAAGCTGGCAATTTCTGAAACTGAATCAAAAGGTTTTTCCTGTGAGCACTGTCTCCGAGAGGACGGTCCCCTAGCCAGAGCAACGAGAGCTGAACATTGTGAGGAGGCATCTTAGCTCTTTGAACTGTTTTCCCTGCAGACTCATTAAGGCCGGCTGGTAAGGAGGCACTCCCAGGGCCTTTGGGGCTGAACAGGGAGAGATGAGTTAGTGTGCGAGACTGAACACACAATCCTCCCAGAGCGCTGCATATTTTTTTCTTCTGAGTAGTGTGGAAGAATTTCATGTTTTTTTTTTCTTAACACTAACATCAAAGGAATTTTCAACAAAGTATCAAATCTAGATGATAAAACATGTCCCCTCAGCAGTGGACTTTGATGAATCCGTTGTTCCAATTAAATACTGCCGGAATTCAAGTGCCCCGGGTGCATTTGAAATTTGCAGAGAAAAAAGTTTTCACTATAGTTTTAACAAGGATGCTTCGTTAGTTCAAAAAAAACATCTCTAGAAACAATGAGTTCAATTGGAAGAGACAGCAGTCTCTGATGAAATACAGTTAAAATACCATTTGGCATACAAAGGGTGCTCAATGCCTAGGTAAGCAGCTGATGTTATATAGGAGGGCATGATTACTTTATCACTTCCCCCAGCTTCCAGCTTCATTCCAAGCGACGCCACCTGTCAATGCCTCTTGTGCAGAAATTCTTCTCCTGTCACCCCCGAGGGAGGCACACTGCTCATTGCTTCTTAGTGCACATCCGTTCTTGGGTGTTCACATCTCTCAGTGGCCAGTGCTTATCCTACATATAGCTTTACACGGGTCACCTAGCATTTGGCTATAGAAGGCATTGGAGGAAGAGTTCTAATATCTACAACAGTAGTTACAGATGGGGCACTAGGTGGCAGGGAGAGGGAGTGGGTGGAAAAGGAGACCAAGGAGAGGCTGGCTACCTAGGGCACGTGACCAGCTAGAGAGGAACAGCCTTTGCTAGGAATCAGTCTCGGGGCCACTTTGCCCAGGAGCCCCTCTCTCCTCGCTGTAGAACTGTGCTTCTTCCCTGCCCTCCTGGCTTTCCTTGAAACTCTCACCCTGTGACTCTGGGTAAGAACCATCACAGGGCCAGACATAAGAAGAAAAGAGAAACAGTTTAATAAGAAATGGGTTTCTTCATGGTTTTACATGAATGTGTAGTTACAAAGGCATCCACTGGTTGCGGATAAAATAATAAGCCCCAGACTCTCACTCCTTCTTACTGTCTGACCAGTCAGATGTCCTACCCTACCAAGAGCAAACTTTGTGTCTGGTACAGTCTGGAAACGCTGCAGCTTGCCGGCTGTACGAAGTTGCCCCTTACTAGCACAAGCGGCTGAGAGCCCTTCGTGTTTCTGTGATATGTGAGACTTCTGTGTCTTTCCCCAAGGCTTTGGCTTTAGGAATTGATTCCCATTGTTAAGGTCGTGTCTCTGTCAAGTTAAAAATTTCCTTTGGGAAATTTCGTTTTCCTATAATAAAAACTCCCAGCTCACATGAAAGCCAACCCCCACGGGACACAGTGTGTGTGTGTGTGTGTGTGTGTGTGTGTGTGTGTGTCTGTGTGTACACATGCAAAGTTTTGGCCTTCCTGAACCCCCAGCATCCTTAGCAGCTTGAAAGCAGAGAACATCATGGGACTCATCATTCAAGGCTCAGCTCCCTTGTAGCTGTTTCTTTCCTCTTGGAAGCCAGGCGGTGGTGGCACACACCTCTAATCCCAGCACTCGGGAGGCAAAGGCAGGTGGATCTCTGTGAGTTCAAGGAAGGAGTGCTACTTCATTTAGAGAGGCACACCCTGGCTAGAAATCCCTCAGATCTGCAGGGCAATGATCCCTCTGCAGAAAAGCTGAAGTAGTATTTGTAGTGTCTAGAGTCATAGAAAAAGCATTCTACTATAAACATGCTCAAACGTTAGCAAATTGTTGCTTTGAGCAAGATATTTATACAATTTTTAAAAATACCGTGTTGGCAAATGATAATTGTCCCATAAATATTGCGTGTTCGTGATTGCAAGTAAAGTAAGCTCCCAAGAGGAATCTTTCCAGTCCTTGGTAGCAAAGGCACTGCCATCAGACCACTGCTGTCCCTGCCTCTCCGCGTCGCTAGCTTGAACATTTTTATTACAATGGCCTCAAAAGATGAGTAGTCAAATTAATCTTAATTCAAACAAACCAAAGATTTCATTGAAGGAAGTGACTATTTTCATATACTAAATTCAAACAAGTCATCCAAAATGGACAGTGTTTCCTGAACATAAGTACAACCTGAGTTTCAAGCTTTCATTTTAAGTTAAAAGCATTTAAATTAAGTTAAAAGAATAAATTATCAAGAAATGTTCTTCATTTTCTCTGCCTTAAGGAAGCTGACAGAACTCTGTCACTGAATAGAGATTTTAGGAAGCAGCAGTGTCTCCAAAATAACCAAATCCCACGGTGTGTGTGGTTTCATAGACACATGAGGAGACTCCCCGGTTGACATGGTTCCGGGAGCTGGCTGCTGCCCATCCATCCTACAGCTGCCATCTTGGTCCTGTTGAAGTGTCAAGTTTTGTCCGTGTCTAGTGACTTCAGCCATGTCTGAGTTTCTCCAGGCTGCTTCGAGCATCTTCAGAAGCAGCAGAATGCCTGGCCATCTCAGGAGACTATGATGGGGTCCTGCTCTGTGCTGAGCAGCTGTGGGCTCTTTTCAAGGACCCCCGTGTACTTCCAGAAGCTCCCAGGTGACAGAGCTGGGTTCCGCACATTCTAGGGAGCCAGCGCTGAAGGACCCCGTGTTTGCGCTCTTGCCTAACAATGGGCATAGAGTCAGCCGGACAAGATAAGCACCTGTGTCTCACCCTCTTTTTCTTTCCTAGGGAATGCAGTCGGATTTTTGGTGAAGATGGCCTGACGCTGAAGCTCTTTCTTAAAAGAACTGCTCCTTTTTCTATTCTGTGGACTTTGACAAATTACCTGTATTTACTGGCTTTAAAGAAGCTGACGGCCACTGACGTCTCTGCTCTGTTCTGTTGCAACAAAGCCTTTGTCTTCTTGCTGTCCTGGATTGTGCTGAAAGACAGGTTCATGGGAGTGCGGGTAATGGCACGCTCAATTCCATGCGCATGCGCGGTGCCTCCCTGCTGCCTAAATCTTAACCACCACGGCTGCTGTCCCATGGAGTGTCTCTAAAACGTCCCCTACCGATTCTGAGTACAAATTGAAATTTGAAGATGTGTTAGGAAAGCCCCGGCAGTGGCAGCATCATGAAAGGAGAAAGGGATGTTTCTACCCGGAAGTCAGTTGATCACAACAGTAGTCTGAACCCGACTGAGAAATTCAGTTCCTTAGAATTAACTTATAGAATTATTGTCACAATCAATTCCTGTCCTCAGCAAAGAGGGGTCTGAGAAAATAAGCCACAGTAAAGATTGGGATTTGCCTTTGTCAATCAGCATATTTTGGAACAACCCCCAACCTGCCCTTACCCAGATGGATCTAATTAATATTGGTGTAAGTAGATAAGATTACCAAACATTAATTAAAGTCACTGGTAATGGCACAGCGCTATTCAAAGTGGCTATAGATCTAGCGTGACTAATCTAGGGATGGAAAGAAAAGCAGCAACTTGTACTTTGGGGTACAAATCCTTAACTGAACTCTGTTAAATGTGTACTACCACCACAGTTCGGAGTCTCTCCCTTTTAGTGGTGAATTTTAAATATAATTTAATATAAGTTTTGTGTGCTTATTCCATGTTAGAAAGAGATTTCTCTAAAACTGTGTGGATTTTAGGAGCTGGACCCCATTCCTGTCTGACATGTTCTAATCCATAGCAAGCCACTAATACTTGACAAGGAAACCCACATGAGGAGCCTTTGTTTCTGAAGTATCAAGATCATGTAATCTATGCTTTTTCTGGAAGAGCTGTCCAAGATTGGGTTTGAAATGTATTTTTCTCCCCAAATATTGTTCTACTTGACAATATGCCTAGGTCCTTGCCTGATTCCAAATGCTGAAGTTAACATCTTTAGAGACACAAAGTGCCCAGTGGACACTGAATAAAAACGAATGTCGAGAGGGAGACACAGTGCCTGAGAGCCACCCACTAAAGCGATTTTCACTTTAAAGGGAAATTGAGAGCCAGGAGCACTGGTACTGACTGCAGTAGAGGCTGAAAAAGGAAGTACACTGCAGACCAGGAGTTCAAGACCAGCCCGGTTAATACAAAGACTCCATCTCTTTAGGGGGGGAGAAAACAGAAAAACAAAACAAAGCAAAAAAAAGAAAGAAAGAAAGAAAGAAAGAGAGAGAAAGAGAGAAAGAAAAAAGGAAGAGAGAGAGAGAAAGAAAGAAAGAAAGAAAGAAAGAAAGAAAGAAAGAAAGAAAGAACAGTTACAAAATTTCTGATTCTGTTTGAGAGATATTACCCAGAAATTCTAAGTGGAAACTTGACCTGAACAGTGAAAAGATAGACTTCATAAGAAATAAAATAAAATACTCTTTCTTCTTCCCTTTTTTTCTTTATTTCTCTTTTTAGAATGCACATACTCCACTGAATAACCTCATATTTGACACCCAAAGGGCCCAGGGTTGTGTATTTATAGCAGAAGTACTGTTGTGGACTGTCACTATGAGGAAGTTTGACAAACCCATGTGAACAGGGACCCTTCCTGCCCTGTTCACTGTGCCCTCCAGGAAAGGCTACCTCTGTTTTTATTCAATATTCAAATGTGAGCACTGGCTTTAAAATCAACTGTTTTCAGGTGGCAACAGCAAAATGTAAGCTAAGTATAGGGACCCTCATGCAGTTCCCATTTAGCTACCTGATCATGTTCATCAAGTCAGCCACCAGTGTTTGCAACACTAGAATAACATAGAACACAAATCCAACCTTAGCTGCTACTTGAAGATTTAATCCACTTTATTAGTAATGATCATAAAAAAGAGAGATTGACTTAGATAACTAGGGTAAGTTCTAAATCCAAAACTTGAGTATCATATCCCTGTGAGAGACTCTGAGGAGAGGACACCGTGACTCCAGAGAGAATGGAGAAACGGATTCACGTAGCAGGGTGCCAGGGTGACCCATCAGTCTCTAGAGAATTCGGGGACTGGATTCTCTCTTAGACTTGCCTTTGGGAGTATAGCCTTGCAGAAGTCTGGATTCTGGACCTCCGGGTCTGTGTGAGACCTCATTCCTTTTGTTTCCGGTCACCACATTTGTGGCCATTTGTTCCAGCCGTCTCAAGTGACTGGTAGAGAATAAACCCGGGAGAGAAAATTCTAAGTAGCTGACAAACGCTTGTCAGTAAACCTGCCCACAAAGTGGAGACATTAGAGACATCAAAGCAGTGTAGGTGTCAGGAAACCTGGTAGAAGTCTAGGGCTCACCACGATGTGTTAGGAAGTGGTCCATGCCCCCACTCCTGAAGGATATCGGGATCCAGTTTTAGCAATGCCCACAACCAAACAGTAGAGTTGGGAAGGCACCAAAACGTATTCTGCATGTTACCTTTTGACAGATCAGCAATTCTTTTTCCTCTCAAGGCATAGAGAGCACACATATAATTAGATCATTTGAGAAATGAAAAGAGGTTGAACACACAGAACTAGCAACCTAAATGCTGCTCCAACTGTCCCCATATGTAAATAATCCAAGGCTTTGTCGGCCCCCTCACACCCCACCAAGTCATTCTCCTCAACTCCAGAACACAAAGGGCTGATTCTAGTCACAAGGCTAACATTTCTCTTTCCTCCTCAGGCTAAAGCTTGGGAGTTGGTTGGGGAAGTTTGAAGGGGGCAGGGATGATGTCTTTGAATTTAAGCTCTCATTTGCTTGGATCCTAGAAAGATCCTGTTTAAGATAAATAATGATGGCTTTCTTTGCTTTTTATTAATTTCAAAATAACACCATGGACAGAAGAAAAGATGCTTTCGGCTATAGCAGTATCAGTAAACACAGCCTATGTGGACTGACAGAGAGCACTCACATAATAACAGACATGTAAACACAGCTTATGTGGACCGCTGACAGAGAGTACTCATTTAATAACAGACATGTAAACACGGCTTATGTGGACTGACGGGTAGCACTCATGTAATGCCAGATTATCCGTTATGAGTCACTTGTCCATACTTTGTCTCCTTGGACTACTGATTGAAGTACACATAGAAAGAAAAAATTCACCATTTTTCTAATACAAAATCATTTCATCCAATTTATTGGTAATCTGTGGTGTGTCAGACAGTTCTTTAAGGAGGAGCAGTTTACAACTAATTTGATTATCCCATGGAAATTTGCAAACTTCATATTTAAAAGATGTTTAAAAGACACAATCCACCTCTTGCAGCCTTTTGTGAGGCTGTTTTCCTACCTCTGAGATTCTGTGTACTAAATTACATTTCTTAAAATCATAGACGCCACCACTGCAGTTGCTCCACCAAAGAGTGCTGACCCTGGGCTCTGTCACCAGCAACACAGAAGCAAAGAACACAGGCTGGAATGCCCTCTGACTAGGGCTTTCCCTCCCTCTCACTGGCACCTGCTCACTCCAACAAGAATTAGCTACCAGAATAGAAATTTAGAACCTTCTTTTGATATCTTGAGCTTCTCTTACATTTTGCATCATTATTTAATTTTTTCCATTTTCAAATTAGTGAAATGCAGAGTTCTTAGGTAACTGATGGTTGGAGAATGCTGTAACAGATTCCAACTTTCTTAGAAATACAGGGAATGAATTTATGTTCCTTCAACATGTGTTCCTGTGGCAACCAACCCCCCCTCCCATTATGTTAGTTCCTAGCATAAAGAACGTGATCTCACTTTGAAGAGGACTTTATGTGGATAAAAATAGTCCTGGGGGGATCGAAAGTGTAGAGGCCCAGCTCCCCGAGTGTCCTGTGGACTTGTTGCCTCGTCTTGATGGCTAGAGATTCCCCCACACTGCTTTCATTTCTCACGTTTCAGCTCTTGTTCAATTTGTGGTTCAGAATGAAAGATACAGTTCCTTCCATAGCTTTAAATATAGTACTGTAGAAGTTTAGGGATTCAGTGGATCCTTGAAAAGAGGTCTATTGAAATCCACCCAAAAGCTGTGTTCATACAGATCTTGATGGCTGAGCTCTTAATTCGTGCCTCCGTCTCAACCACTGATGTATAGCCTTGAACTTGAGGGAAACATGGTCAACAACATAGTTTAGTATCTTCATTCTAGGACTTCTTCGAGGCTCAAGGGTTTCTTATAAACCAGTGAAATTTTCCACACTCATCTAACTTCACAAAGCAGAATTGTCCGCAAGGAAACGCGTTAAGATTACAGTTTCTCACTTAGACCTGTATGTGTCTTATGGGAATTTTGTAGGAAAATTGTGGGGTGAAGGTTTATTTCAATGACTTGGATACTAACATGGGTGGTTTGGGGGCAAAGGAAGTTTTCAGGGGAGGTAGAGTGTCCCAGTTTTCCTGGATGGTCAACATGAGCGTGTGGAAGAACTTGTAAGATGTAGGCTTCCTGGGACTTCCCGACTCATGCTAAGCAGAGTCCTTCTGTGTTCCTGTTGAATCAGTGTCCAAGCCTTTGAAGACTGATTCGGAAAACGGATGTGGCTTACATCTGTGCTTAGGGTGTTCATTATAGTAAGGTTTGGAGTGTTTACTCTTTGAAGTTTAAACCAGAGATTCCAAGCAGAGCTGTTCTAGGGTCATCCAAGTGATCTCTCCAAATAGGCTTTCCAGCCAATGCATTCCTGCAGGCTCAGGATGGGCTGAGATCCATTGCTCAGCTTCCAGCTCTGTGCACCAGAAATACACTGAGAGTCTCTTAAAGAATGAGGTAGAGAATTTATCTATTCAGATTATTACAAATTTAAACTTAAAATATAGAAAAAGTTTATCTGCTCACTAGGAATGTACTATATGCCTTATAAATCAACCGCCCCTAGCACGGAGATAGGTTTTCCTAATCCCTCATAATACTCAGATTTTATGCTTTCAGAAGTTAACGACGAGTTATCTGGCCCCCTAAGGGGAAAACCACCTCTCCTCATGCAAGCAATTGAAACAGATGCTGGTGTAATTGGCATGTCAATTCAAGTAGTTCAGGCGAATATTTTCACAAGCTCTTGAAGATGCTTGCTACGGCTCTAATTTCCAATTGCTATGAAAATATGTCCTCTTTAGCCATATCCAAGTCTCTTTTTGAGAAAACTCTTCATTCACATTTATTTTTTTTTTTTACTTCTGGCTAATGAGGAAAAGGACTCTCCTACCTGTGCTTGTCTTGGAATTAACCATATCATCTGTTTAAAAGTTCAACAGTTCCTAGACAAGGGTTTTCTTTATTTGATTGCTGGGGCAGTGCTTTTTTCCCTAGTTCTCTTCATTCAGGAGAACTATATTATATAATATACAGTGCCCTAAATACAATTACCTTATAAACACAGCTGACCATGCTCAAGTTCATTAGTATTAACACTGTTTTATTAACAATATTTGATCAAAAAATAGAACTGATGGTTGACTAGCAACATTTTAATCATCCAAGTTCAGTGTTCAGAAGGAAATCTGTTTCTGCACAGGAACATGTTAGGTGGTAAAGACGATGTAAACACAAAATCAAATCAGAACGCAGCTGGCCAATATTCCTTTTCATTTCTCTGAAACGACACTGCTCCAAAATGGTTACATTCTATATGGCTGAGCAATAAATTCCAAATCAAAGCAAGTGATTGCCTTCCAGAATGCTCAGATATAGATAACCTCCTCATGGGTTTACTTATCAGCCTATGACTTTTTATTTGTAAACTGTCCCCAGTACTTTCCAATGTGTGTATTAATTCCTACACACACACACACACACACACATACACACACACACACACGCACGCACGCACGCACGCACGCACAGGGGCAGGTGTTAAGGAGAAAGCCAGGCAACTAGCTTTTGCTCACCTCCCTGGTAGCTTGTAGTAATCCGTCTCTAACATGTAGGGTCTGTTTTCAAGGGTTCCTCCTGGTTTTTATAAAAGACACTTAAACATAGAGCTGTCCTGAGGCCACCATGGGCTTGCCAGTGTGTAAATAACAAAAGCATCACTGGGTGGCAGCCACCAGGAGCATGCTCTGAACTGCCTTCAAGGTTTTACTTCATTTTGTATCATAATAATGCAATAATAGCATTCAAAATGACCCAAAACATCCCAAATGTGAAAAAGTACCTGCAGAGGCACTGGTTTTGAAATACTCAGAACTGGGAGGCTGGAGGGATGGCTCCAAGGTCCCAAGCTCAGTTCCCAGTAACCACATGGTGTCTCACAACCATCTTGAATGAGACCTGGTGCCCTCTTCTGGTGTGCAGACATACATGCAGACCGAACATTGTATACATAATAAATCAATCTTTAAAAAATGCTCAGAAGTTCATCTCCCTACAGTTAAACCCCTTACAGATTCTCATCTTGAATTTAAAGTCGGTGAGGAAGCGTCATGTACCTACTACAGGGTGCTTATTTTACTGTTTGCTGTAACTTTAAGTGCTTTCCAGTGGGACAAGTTCAGGAAAAGGGATAAAGCAGGCGTAAGCACAGGCCGTCCGAATGAGCTCCTGAACAAACCCACAACACACTCCTGACAACAAACCGTTTCAGCCTTGGTCAAATTATTCGCAATTCTACTTGTAAAGTTAAGAATGCTCTAGCAAGGTGATAAAAATAAAAGGAAATTAAATTAAATTATCTTTCTGTGGTTTATTTTTTTAAATCAATGAATTTGCATGTGAAGAAAGGGAGAAGAGGCCTCAGAGGGCATTCCAAGTGACCGATGCCCATTTAGCTTGCCCCGTCTATGTTGTTGAGAGGTCTTTCTGCCCTTCATCCAGGGCTTCCTCATCAAGTCTTGGTGATGTGGGCATGTTCAGAAACACACAGTGGTCTTAGGAGCTGGTTAAGATGTATACGGAATTAGTAGATGAAAATGCTTAGATGTGCCTTCCTGCTAAATCCATTGTGCCAACAAGGATATTAATCTCCAGGAAGATGAACAGTATTCCTTGCCCTTAATCAGCACAGCTTTTCCTATTCTATGCCTGTGGCGCGAGCAGAGTGGTCTCTTTGACACTGACCCTTCTCAAATGTACGCACTGATGACAGAAGAGGTAATTAGTCTTAAGAAAGTACTTAGCTGCTTTCGGGGGCTTGAATAACTTGATCTGGGATGCGAACACATAATTTTTCTCTCTGCTTCTTTCCATTCTGTTTGACAGATAGTTGCCGCAATAATGGCAATTACGGGCATTGTCATGATGGCATACGCAGACAATTTCCATGCTGATTCTATCATAGGTGTGGCATTTGCAGTGGGCTCAGCCTCTACATCTGCGTTATATAAGGTATGTCCGTGTCGTCCTCTATAGTCAATGGTCCCTCATAGCTCAGGATGAAGCCACAAAATAGGGAAGTGCAATGACAACCCGAAAAAAAATTACAGGTGTGTTAAATAATAGTAACTAAGTTTCTTTTTTGTCAATACTTGTGTGGTAGGCACCTCACAGGAAATTTCACCGGTGTTGACATGTCCTTACTTACCATTGATCCTTATTCTACTTACTGGATGAAAGAATTGAAGCTTTAAAAGATTAACTCTCCAAGGTTGTAGTGAGGGAGCAAAGTTGGACTGGAGCCAACAATGCACCCCACCCCCCAATCAGGCAGTTACAGCAAGAATGTAAGGAAAGCAACTCCTCTCTTCTATATTATTTTTTCACTTGGGTATATGGTAATTGTGCTAACTCCATGGAGGTATTAAAAATAATAAGCTGTCATTTGAGAGGATGCTATTTGCTACTAGGGAGGCCACACGATAAAGAACCCATGGCATTAGCAAAATGAAGACACCATGCTCTGCTATGTGGACTTGTATACTGTCTCCCCTGGATTCCCTGTCATCCAGGAAAATGTCACCAGGGTCACCGCACCTCACTTCAGAAGCAAGGTCTCTGATAGCAAATCTAAAAGGTTATTCTCCCAAAGCTCAGCTTCTTTAGAAGCCAACTTTCTGAGGAAAACTAAAGGGCAATGCCAATTTCACCTCTCTTAGAGTTTCAATAAGATGAATATCACAGATGAAACAAACTCTCTGGAAGATAGAAACAGCCCTCACTTCCCCTCCTGGAGGCTGGCTTTTTCACCAGCACTGTGGCCCATGGACATTGACATATTTGGGGTCTGGGGCGGGGGGAGGAGGGACATTGATTCTGACAGGCATTGACATTCATTTACCACGGGTGTCTAATTTGTTCTCCCATGGAAACCCCACTAAAATTGTTGATGAGATCAAAGACCAGCAAGATTGTCTTCTAAGGAAAAACACTAATACATTTATGAGGTTAAAAACCCAGGCAGCACTGGAATGGCCGGGAAAGCAGGATGGCTATTCTGTAAAAAGAATCCTCCCGGTCAGGAAAGCAGGGTGGCTATTCTATAGAGAATCCTCTGGTCAGGAAAGCAGGGTGGCTGTTCTATAGAGAATCCTCCGGTCAGGAAAGCAGGATGGCTATTCTATAGAGAATCCTCCCAGCCAGATCACAGGATGCATTCACTCTAGGAGTAGCAACAGTTAACAATCCCAAAGTCATATCTGAACCCAACTCCAGGCAGACAAAATCTGCTCCATTTGATAGTGTGTGTTAGTGGGTTAGCAAAGGGAGAACGGGGTTTAGAAGCTAAGAAAACAGGCCTCGGGTCTGGCTTCCTTTTTCCTTTCTGTGAGCTTACATTAGCCCATCACTTGTTATCTGCCTCTACACAGGGGCTTATAACCCAGAAAAAAAAAAGTTGTTTTTAATCCAGAGAGCAACAGGATGTTTGTGAAGACATGTAAAGCTCAGGAAGGATAGTGCTTTCGAACCTAAGGCCTCAGTATTTCTATTAACAAGCTAGGCAGTGATGGTGCACACTAAATCCCAGCACTCGGGAGGCAGAGGCAGGTGGATTTCTATGAATTCAAGGTCAGCCTGGTCTACAAACTGAGTTCCAGGACAGCCAGGGTTACACACAAAAACCCTGTCTCAACCCCCCCCCCCCGCCCAAAAAATAAGCTAATAATGGGTGTCTGCCCAATTAGTTTTCAGCATGTCATAATCAGGATGCAACAAATCCCAGGGTTGCTAGAAAGGATTGATGGCATCTCACCACTACGGATTTTTATGGGCTCATATAAGCTTTATTTGTCCTTGACCCTGTGCCCATCTTGGTGGTTTTAGTTTCATACTATAGAATCCTCCCGGAAACTTATAACACCACAAGAAAACCACCTCTTGGCAGTCACTGTAGCGTGTGAACAACACAGAGAATTGCCTCGCCATGCCAGCCCATTTAGTTCTCTGTGTTGTTCACATGCTACCGTGACAGGGCAGGAAGACACAGAGGCTACTCTAGGCCAGTACGATCAGGAGGATTCATTTTGTGCTGCAGCAACAGCTCTCGATGTGCGTCTGAAGAGTTTCTCTCCTTTCCAGGTTCTGTTTAAGATGTTTCTTGGAAGTGCCAACTTTGGCGAAGCCGCACACTTTGTCTCCACCTTGGCTTTCTTCAACTTGGTCTTCATCTCCTTCACCCCCATCATCCTGTACTTCACCAAAGTGGAGCACTGGTCCTCCTTCGCAGCCCTGCCCTGGGGCTGTCTCTGCGGGATGGCAGGGCTATGGCTTGGTGAGTGGCCCTTGACTGTGCCTGCCGTTCATCGTAGGGTTGTTCCCCTGGCTGCTTTTGTGTTTCTTGACCCAGACTGCACTGGATATAGACACTGAATATGTGGAAGATTCTTGGTGGGCTCTTTCTTGGTTATCTCAGGGCTCTACATGGTGTGGCTGCTGTGGATTAAAGTATCCAGTCAAAGCCCAGGTCACTCTCTCCATCATGACATGGTGTGTGACCTGGCGTGTGGTGTGTGCTTCCTATGTGCATGGTATGACAGGCAGAAATGAAAATGGATGATACAGTCAAGTGTTCAACTGAGAGGCAAGCGGGGGAGGAGAGAGGAGGGAAGAGAAAAGAGGGGAGGGAAGGGGAGGGGGCAGATATTCAAGAGAAAAGCAGATCATGAATAAACTGGAAAGCCATTTTGAAGAAGCTGGGTTTAAAATCCACTTCATCTTGGAGCTGGAAATGACAGGCTCACACCTGATATTAAACCACTCACTCTATTGTGTACGGAGAACGGGTTTGCACCAGGAATCCCTCACCAGGAGAGCGCTGAGCTTGATGGCCCTGGCTTAGTACACTGTGTCCAGTTGAGGGCAAAATAAAGGTCACCTGGAGTCTTTCTCTTGGGCATCCTGGAACTCTGGGTATGTATGGCTCACCTACTAGTACCTGATGTACGAGGAGTCTAATATCTAAAGACTCTGCTCCTCCTCTCCAGTCATTGAAAACAGCATAGCTCAATATGCCAGTGCTTCCTCTGAATAAATCAGCTTCATTCTGTTCCTTCCATGTACCGCCCAAGGTCGGCCCCTCTTTTGCCACACATTTACCCACCACACACACCCACTCTGCAGGCTCCACTGACCTTCTAAGCCAGGGTAGCACTGAAAACAGTAGCAACACTGCAGTCCCAAGAAAAGCATTGTCCTTATTCCAGGAAGATCATTGATTGGCTCATCTTTTCCTGCTCCAGCCTAGAACCCTCAGGGAAGGTCTTAAACGGAAGACATTTCAGAGAAGGACCAAGCATTAATTGTTAGTCCCTGGAGTTGTGCTTTCCAGGGCCCAAACTGTATGGTTATCATCTCCCATTGCCTCTAAGTTGAGTGAAAATCAATAACATATTTGGAAGTTCATAGCGCTGCCACAAGATCAAAGAATCCTAATTAAAAAGTGCTCAGTTTATTTCCTGGCCAGAAATAATGTAGCTGGGAACAATCATAACCAAAATGTCACTTATTCTTAGCAACCTTTTTGCATGTGGAATTTGTGCCTGCTGCAAAGTAGCCCTTTGCAGCCCAGTGAGAGTCGCTGGCCCATCTAGTGTGTCCTCCTAAGTAAGTCTTCTCAGGCTGGGCCACACCCGTGCCGTTCCCCAAGCAGCATGTGTCCACACTCCACCAGCCATGGCACCAGCTGGCACTGCAGCTGTCCCCGGGGCACAGCAGCGTTCATTGTGCCAAAGCAGAGCTGTGACAGATTGAAGAGACAGCCTCTCTCCTGTGCTGTGTACTCTGGGGCTTTAGAATCCGCAGGGCTTTGCTCGCAGTGTTTTCATTCCCCGTCCTCTCTTCTCCGTGGGAATCCCACATGGTCTAGCTGGGACCAGTCTGAGAGCCGGAGCTGAAATCCCAGTGTGTGCTCCGAGCACCCACATTTCCTGAAGCTATGGCTGTGCCCTGCCCTCTAGGAAGTTACATTCATCTGACCTATCAAGATTGAATTTAAAGTGGGGCTGGATCCCTCACTATGGAAGCACATCGAATTGGGTATTGTTTCCCTTGGGTTATCAAAGAAGATGATTCCATCTGAAGAACTAAGGAAAACAGACAGCACATGGCACAGCAGCCGAAGGCTCTGTTCGGAAACACCATCACATTCACTCCGGTTGCCAAAATCCAATCTGTCAAATAAAAAAACAATTGAGGAAGTCAGCAGGGTTTTGATGCATTTAGCAAATTCTTAACTTGTTAGAATTTTCCATAAATGACTCCATGAGCTTAAGGAAAGACCCGAAGTGCTGGAATATTCATTCACAATGACCCTTGCCATGACAAAGGAGCCCTTACACAGCTAGGAAGGACCGTGTCTTTACTGCCCTTGCTTCATACTTGTGAGTCTCAGAAGGTCCAACCTGCTGCCTCTCATCTCCAGGTACAGATGACTCTACACTGCTAAGGTGGTGAGCTTAGTTATAGATGACAACATCCTCATTGAAATAGTTCTAGATCTTTCTTTGAGTCTAGCCTCTTCAGAAATATGGGCAACATGCTTCAGCTGTGTTCATAGAGACCATCTCATATTAAAGGACCTTTTTTTT